CTATTATTCTGTTTTGTGATACAAACCCCGTTCACACGCCCAGCTCCATCTTCTGCTGCTCCCAGACCCACAGGTCTCTGGTCACATTCAGGAAACACCCCTTGTTCTCTGGCACCTCTGTGCCTTCGCATATTCCCTTCCCTCTGGAATGCCTCACCTCTGCAAACTCTCAAACATTTCTGAGTAATCCGCACTCCAGGGAAGCACTTTCCCCACCTCTGGGCACAATTAATCATCTCTGTAACTGCTGCTCCCACGCAGTTCAGATCACTGTAGCCTAATTACTTAGGTATCATCATCTGCCGGGGGAAGAGTGTGGGTCTTACTCATTCTCTGTCCTTTCCCCTGACACCTAACACAGAGTCTGGCCTGAGTCAATGTCAGGAGACACTGAGTGATACAACAGGTGAATGGATGGGTGGACAGATCATGGATGAACACCTCATTTTTTGCAGCAGCATCAAAGGTTCCAGGGTGCACAAAGGCCCCGAGGGCAGGGTGGCTCATGGCTGCGCACAGCACCTCAGCTGACAGCTGCGGGCTGCCTGAAACACAGCCAGTGATTTGGCTAATGAAGATAGAGCTAATGATGGCCATAAACCAGTACCCTAAGCTGCCCTGAAGCCACAGTCACTGTCCAGCTCTCCAGTGAGTCATCCCTGGCTGAGCCTGAGGACAGAGATCCTGTCTTAGAAGTAGATGGTCAGGTAAGCAGGGGCTGAGCTGACAGAGACTGCCCGATTCTGTCTGTGACTCACTGCAGCCTGTGATGATGGTAAGAGATCCACCTCTAGCATCACAGGAGCCTGAGCTCAAGTCTCTGCACAGACAGTGATTAGCTTTAGACATCCAGGAAGTTCCATACCCCAGCTGGGCCTGCTTCTTCCTCCTCTCCCAGAAGAGAGGCCCGAACCCAAGACACAGGCCCAATCCGAGATGCTGATAATGGAGACAGTCTCCCAGCTCTGGAAAACCCACATGGAAGGAGTGTCACTCTCCTGGTTCAGAGAGACCCAGCTCCTGGAAGTTGTCCTTGGATGACTTTCCACAGGGGTGAGCAAGCAGACACAAACACATTTGCACTCACACACACAGAATAAATAAAAAGGAATAAAAAGCGGGGGGGGGGGGGGAGGTCATACTTCCTGATCACTTAGAAAGAGTAATTTTTTGAAAAGGACCAAGACAGAGTTAATAAGAAAAACTATATGGATGATGGAAAGATTAAGTAAGTTGAGGGGGAAACTGGTGTGGGGTGTTGAGGAGAATGTCCCCTAATACTTGGTGGCCTTGGAAGAGGACAGGGAGAGACAGGAAGACGACTTGAGGATTTGAGGTGGTGTCACAGTCACTAACAGAGGCCATTAATGAAAAGGCATCAAAAGAGGATGGCCCCAGTGCCTGACTCCCTTTGATGAGGTCACATGGAGGAAACACCTGCTGTGTGGGCGCGGTGGGAGGGGCTGGGATGTGCCAGACGGAGGTGGGGGTGTGTGGAATGAGGGGCTTTTTCAGCTCTAAAGGATTTCACTAGAAGATTTCTCTAGGGAATGGCTGAGAAAGTGAATGTGCAGGTCACCTTAAAGGTCACTATATGTGATTATCTAGTTAAAGTCCTGAGTGCTGGCTGGGCAGAGCAGTCTGGCCTGGGTTGTAGATTCTGAGAACTACCTGAAGGTGTATAGACATAGGTCTATCACTTCACTCATTCATTCGTCTCTTGAGACGTGGTCTCCTGTAGCCCAGGATGGACTTGAACTCATTATGTAGCCTAGGATGATCTTGACCTTGTGGTTATCCTGTGTCCACTGTCAGGTGCTCGGATTAGGGATGAGCCTCACTCACAGGGCTGGAGGTCAGCTCAGGAATTTGCATATGCTGGGCAAATATTCGACCAATTGAGCTACATTCTCCAGCCCTAATTTAACTTATTTTTTATTTTATTTTTTTTTAGGTTTTGATGTTTTGAGACAGGGTTTCTCTGTGTAGCTCTGGCTGTCCTGGAACTTGCTTTGTAGACCAGGCTGGACTCAAATTCAGGAATCAGCCTGTTTCTGCCTCCCAAGTTCTGGGAGTAAAGGTATGCACTGCCACACCTGGCTCCCTAAATTCTTTTTTTTTTTTTCCAGACATGATCTCACTATATAAGGCAAGCTGTCCTTGAACTCACCAAGTAGCTCCAACTCATGGCAATCCTTCTGCCTCTGCCTCCTTGAGTGCTGGGGTGATTGGCATGAGCTTCCATGTTTAGTGAGGTCTGCCTACATCTCTCTTTACTGTGACATAGGAGAGGATGAACAACACATCCCACAGCCAGGTGTAACGGTGCATACCTGTGATCCCAGCACATGGCAGGCTGGAGGATCACAAAGCCAGCCTGGACTAAGTAATAAGATTCTGTCTCGCCGGGCGGTGGTGGCGCACGCCTTTAATCCCAGCACTCGGGAGGTAGAGCTAGGCGGATCTCTGTGAGTTCGAGGCCAGCCTGGGCTACCAAGTGAGTTCCAGGAAAGGTGCAAAGCTACACAGAGAAACCCTGTCTCAAAAAACAAAAAAAACAAAACAAAACAAAAAAAAAAAAAAAAAAAAAAGATTCTGTCTCATTTAAAAAAAAAAAAAAAAAAAAAAAAGCCGGGCGGTGGTGGCACACGCCTTTAATCCCAGCACTCGGGAGGCAGAGCCAGGCGGATCTCTGTGAGTTCGAGGCCAGCCTGGGCTACCAAGTGAGTTCCAGGAAAGGCGCAAAGCTACACAGAGAAACCCTGTCTCGAAAAACCAAAAAAAAAAAAAAAAAAAAAAGGGAGGGGGCATAGGCAGGGGGCTGGTGGGGGACACTGGAGAGATGGCTCAGAGGTTAAGAGCACTGGCTGCTCTTCCAGAAGTCCTGAGTTCAATTCCCAGCAACCACACGGTGGTTCACAACCATTTATAATGAGATCTGGTGCCCTCTTCTGGTGTGTAAGTATTCATGCAGGCAGAACACTGTATACATAATAGATAATCTATAAAAATAAGAAGGGCATAGGGCTGGAGAAATGGTGTCTTAGTTACTTTTCTACTGTAATAAAACACTGTGACCAAGACAACATATAACAGAAGGAATTTAATTGTTCTATGGTTCCAGAGGTTTGACGTTTATGATGGAGACAGAGGTTGGCAGCTGGAGCAGCAACTGAGAGTTCACATCTTGATCTGCAAGCAGCAGGCACAGAGCTAACTAGGAATGGGGTGAGTCTTTTGAAACCTCAAAGCCCACTCTCGGTGACATACCTCCTCCACCAAGGCAATACTTCCTAATCCTCTCCAAACAGTTCCACCAACCGGGGACCATATAATCAAACATGAGCTTATGGAGGCCAGTCTCATTCAAACCATCACAGATGGTTCAGCAGTTAAAAGCACTGGCTGCTCTTCCAGAAGACTCAGGTTCAATTCCAAGAACTTATATGGTGGATCACAGCCATCTGTAACTCCAGTACCAGGGGATCCTATGCCCTCTTCTGGCTTCTGAGGGCATTGGGCATGGACATAGACACAGACACATATGCAGGCAAAATATCCACCCACATTAAAAAATAAAGTAAAATAAACAGAAGAACATGTGCAGATTGAAGGTGTCTCCAAGCAGTACGCCCACTCTTGGGTGCATGGGTGCACTGTATTGTGACTGTGCGGCTTGTGTACATATAAATGGTTTTGGGGGAATCTGCTGCAACGTGCTTTACAGTACTATGTGGGGGTCAGTTGAGGGTCTGTGTGTGTGTGTGTGTGTGTGTGTGTGTGTGTGTGTGTGTGTGATAGAGTTTCTGTGAGGGTGACCCTGAGCTATACATCTGAGTTCTGTGAATCCTTGTTGTGGCATCTGAGCTGTGTGGTTCTATAAAAAGGGGCTGGGGGAAGGCACAGGGGTGTTCTTGGTGCTGGCACTCGGTGTCTATAATGGGGAGGAGGTGTGGTCCTAAGCTGGAAGCTTTAGAGCCAGGCCTGAGTGGTGACTCCTCGGCTGTTGCCCCTGAAAGAGTGACCTCTCTCTGAGCAATGATTAACTTGGCCCCCGTGAGAAGGATCCAAACTGTGGAGGTGAAAGGGGTGGAGCCTGATCAGCCCAGGAGGAGTTCTGAAAGCCCTATGGGCAACTGTGTTGTTATCATTTCCTCCTGGCCACCCTTCAGGTCAGTCACCCTGACCCAGGGTAACCGGGTCAAAATATTTAACAAACACGGAGGCACAGACACCAGCCAATCAAAACAGACGCTAGCCAGGCTCTGAATGGAGCAGGGCTGGAGGCTGTGGCCCGACCAAGCACAGCTTAGGTGGCTAGGACAATGGGAATGACCCCCTGAGGGGGCTGTGGCAAGGCAGAAGGAAGATGGAAGGGAGCTCAGGGACGCAGGACACAGTGGTTTCAGACTTTAACAACTAGGGTGACCATGCCATAGTGAACCCTCTGCCTGGCTCTGCCTCTAAGCCGCTTCCAGGGCTGCTCTGGCTGCTGCTTTGTCCCTGGTGCTGGGAGAGCATTGGACCAGTATCTTCTGTCAATTGCAGGAGGCGGGGAATCACCGAGGGTCAAAAATCCTTGAAAGTGAAATGGCCTTGTCTATTTTGAGAATGGGGCATTTCTGTGATTAGCTGCTATCCCAATTCCTCTGAGGGAGAGACAGCCTCTAGGGGACAGTAACCTGAGAGGGGACAATAAAGGCTCTGGAGGCAAGGACAGAAAGTCCCTCTGCTCAGGGAGAAGGGTATAAAGGTGGCAGGAAGTGTGATGATGCTTTCTGGTGGCTTCTCATTCACTTGTAAAATAAACCTTATCCTCAGCATTGATGTTGCCATCCCTCTCTAGAACATCAAGGAGCTGGTCTGGGGTTCTTTTCCAGGAGTCCCCTCTGGAAAGAGTAGGGTGTACCCTGGAGATTGGCGGGTCCCTTCCACAGGCAACTACGGTGTCAGCAAGTCATACCTTTTATTACAAAAACCAATAACTTAATTTAGTTTTATACAAAATCAGGAGGAATTCTGGTCTGATAAACAGCTTCATTCATGCTCCCTCCCTGACCCTGGCCCAGAGGCTTTGGGGGCCACCAAGGGCCTATTAGGTCGTTAGTAGTACACTGTGTTCAAACCAAGGAAGTCCAAGCTGGGGGTGTGACTGATGTGAGGGCTGCTCCTGGGGAGTTGAGTGCTGCCTTTCAGGCTCCCCTTTGGAAGCACTGGACCTCATTCTGCAGGTCACCTCAGCAAAAGCATGTCTTCGAGCAGTTCAGCGATGTCAACATCTCCGATGATAGGGCGGAAGAAGAGGTCTACCAGAAGGCTACATGGAATGTTCTTGAGAGTGGAGGCCATGAGGAGGATTCGGGCCAGGCGGCCTTGGCTAGCTGGGTACCAGGGCTCCAGGACCTCACACAAGGCCCAGTGAGCTTCCTGTTGCAGATGTGCGATGTGGCAGGAGGCATGGAGGCCCGGCACATCTGTGGCAGAGAGAGGGAAGAGGGCTGGTGAGCAGCTACTCCATGGAGGCTAGCCCAGGATGTGGGAATGTTAGCAGTTCCCTCTCCTCGTATGCTGGGGTGTAATTGCAGGGCCTTGTGCTTGCTAGAGACTGCTTGGCAGAATTTCTACAACTGGACTATATATTGATGGCTCCTTTAATATGCTAGGTAAGAATTGTACCACTGAACTACATTCCCAGCCTTTAAAGATAGAGAAGAGCCTAATTGGTGGTGCTGGGAATCAAATCCAGGACCTGTAGCTCGGGAGGCAGTACTTTACTAATGAGTTACAGGCCTTGGCCTACTCTGCTACCTTGGAGGTTTCAACCACCATCTCCTTCATTGTATTGATCCATCTACTTATAGACAGGAAGTACATAATGTGGGTAAAAAAAGATATACAGGTTAGAGAGGTGGCTCAGTGGTTAAGAGCACTTACTGCTACTGCAGAGGACCTGGATCCTGTTCCCACCTACATTGTGGCTCACAGCTGCTTATAACTCCAATTCCTGACACCCTCTTCTGGCTTCTGTGAGATCCCACCCAGATGACACACATACATACAGGTAGAAACTCTTACACATAAAATAATATATATATATATATATATATATATACATTTTTTTTGAGATAAAGTTTCTCTGTGTAGCCCCGCATGTCCCGAAACTCAATGTGTAGACCAGGCTGGTCTTGAACTCACAGAGATCCACCTGCCGTGCCTCTGCAGTGTCGGGATTAAAAGCACCAGTGGGCCACCAGTGCCTGACTAAATGGATTTTTAAAAAAATACAAAACAAGGCCCGGGTGGTGGTGGCACACACCTTTAATACCAGCACTTGGGTGGCAGAGGCAGATGGAGCTCTGTGAGTTCAAGGCCAGCCTGGTCTACAGAAAGAGTTCTAGGACAGCCAAGACTACACAGAGAAACCCTGTCTTGAAAAAAAAAATACAAAACCAGAACCAGGCTCTCTGGATGTGAATCCCAGCACTGCCCCTTACTAGCTGAATGACCCTGGACAAGTAGTTTAATCTTTCTGAGTGACTGTAGATGAGTAGTTTAATTTCGTGCCTCAGTTTCTTCATCTGTCAAGTGGGAATGACAGTACCTGTCACCCATGATTGTTACGAGGTTTAACCAAACGAATATTTGTAAAACCCTTAGACTAAGTCCTGACATATGGCAAATGCATGTGGCTATTTGGTACTGTTTCTGCTGTTTGGCATTATACTTTAATTTTCAAGGCTTGTCTCTTGTCTTCCTCAAAGCTACAAAGAATATTTTCCCATGCCAGGCATGGTCTTAGTTTGAAGTCAACTTGCTCTACACAAAGAGTTCTAAGCCAGCCAGAGTTACATGGTGAGACTCTGCCTCAATTCTCTGCATGGCCTCCCGCAACCCGACACCCCCCTCCACCCCCCAATCACTGTTCTCCTGGCTAGATTTCCCAAGGAGTGCTCACTCTCTCTCATTCTTTTTCGTTGTGTGGCCTCTCTGAACCCACGGAGGACTTTAACCTTCAGAACCTCACTGTACAGCCTGCCCTTGAAGATGTGGCTGCCACCCGACTGTGTCTACCCCACCCCTCCACCCTCCCACAGTCCCTGAGAGTCAGGACAAATTTCTCAGGCTCAGCGGCAAGAGCAACCTCTGCATTAGCTTGACCAGCACGCCCAGCCCTGCTCTGCCTCTGCCTGCTGTGTGGTTTCAGGTAGTTGCTTAATCTCTCTATGCCTCTCCTGGGAGATATCTATTTGTGTCTAACAAGGATACAAAGGGACAGTGGATGTCAAGCTCCAAGAAGGTTTGTTCCCTGGATGAGTCCCCTCCCAGCTTGGCCCCCATCCAGGAGAGTCTGGGAGCTCACCTGGGTTGAAAAGGATGGTTCCTTTCAAGTAGGCATACTCCTTGGGACCCAGCTCAAGGCTCCAGAAAGACTCCAGACAGCTCTGGAGCCACCGCACAGCAGCCAGCGAGGGTTGTGGCCGGTCTGGTAGCTGGGCATCCCGGGTACCACTGCTGGGTTTCTCCAGTAAGATTTTTTTGAGTATACTGGGCACCGGAGCCTCAGCCACCTCAAAGGTTACAATATCTTGGGCCAACCCGAGCAGGAAGAGAGGGCTCCAGCAGACCCCCAGCAGGCGCCGCTGATCCTCATGGGGCAGGCGGCAGAAAGACGGCAGGTTCCTGAGGAATGCTACCGTCTTGGCTAAGACATCCAAGGCCTCCCGGCAGGTGCGATGTGGCGCACACAGACGCACAGGCCGGTGCTGCTGGCACAGGCAGTGACTTCGGGATGCGGATGCAATGGGCCTGGCCCTGAGGCTGGGGTTGAGAAGTGCATACAGAATAGCTGGGCGGCCTGCAGAGCCCTCGCATGGGCAGTCCCCAGACTGGCTGGAGTTCATGGTTGGTGTCTTGTTCCTGTTTCTTCCCAGCTATCTGGCCCTCTGTACTGTGGGTGCTATTTATATCCTCGATGGGCGGGAGGGGGAACGGCCAAGCAACCTTGACTCCAGAAGTCATGTTCATTGAAAAGAAAAAAAAACACATACACACACAATGCACACACGCACTGACCCTGGCAGGACTGCTGAGGAAATGGTGGGGGAGGGGCACTGGAGCTCCACGTGGCATTGCTATCGCTTTAGTCAATGAAGTGGCCATTGCAGGGCACAGGGCCACCTGCCCGCTGCCTGGATGCCCTTTATCGGATGACTCAAGTGTATAAACAAGGTCATTAACCTAGGCTGTACCAGGGCACCAAGGTCTCAGGCGCTCAACCAGCCAGTGACTGTGACTGCCGTTTCTATTGGTGCCCACTTTCATGCATGCAAGACCAGGGTTCTCACTGAGCCGAAGAGTCAGCCAGAGAGAGCCAGCGAGAGCCTTGAATGCATGACCCAGTCTGGAAGTACCTTATCTCTGCTGTATTTGCCTAACCTTGGGGCTCTGCTCCTGTTGTCGGGAAGGAACAGGCTGCAGGGAAGAGAGCCAGGTCCCTGGGAGACTTTGATCATCGTACAGTCTAGGAGGGCCCCCCCACCTCTTGTGATTCCAGTGCAGGGGCCCCTTTGGTGGAAGACCATTCAGAGCCCCCTGCTCCCAGTCTGCATTCCTATAGCTCCAGAGAGGCTGGCCTGCTGGCCCTGGCAAAACTGGGAAACTGCATGGCTGCCATTTACTGAGGACCGGCTAGGTGGGGGTCACATCCCTTTGTAATGGTGAGGACTTCCCAGTGGGACTAGAAGAGGTGAAGTGACCTGCTCAGAGTCACTCCAATAGGAAAAGACAGATATGTCTGACCTCCAAGTCATCCTTGTTTGCCCCCTGAATCAATTGCGCAGCTGCAGGGTTTCTCAGCACTGGTGGCTAGCAGTTACTGTCCCCAACCCCATCGCCTGCCTGGTCTGCAGGTGTGGCCCACCTATGGTGTGAGTAGAAACACATCTCTGCTACCACATGGCTTCTCTGTCCTGGATATCTGTCTTGAGTGGTTGGAGGTGAGGGACGAGGGAAATGGGAGGTCCCCAATTGTATCAGGTTCCTAACCTTGGCTAACCTTGCCTAGCGGGCTTGCTGTCACCACACTCTTGGGCAACCTGGTGCTCTGCTTGAGGAGAGAGACTCTGGTGTCCTCTGCCCTTGCATCTGGTCTTGGCTCCGTGCTTCCCAGTCACGATGTGACTGCCCGCTGGTCTCCAGGGTTCTGTGAGCCTCGCTGTCTTATCTGAGACATTAAGGTCTCCCTGTGGTGTGGACTTTAAGACAGAGCACCCCACTCTATCCCTGCAGCCAGGCAGGCATGCTGCTTTCGCTGTAGTGGTTGGTGTGGATCTCAGCCCAGGCTCCCTTCGGAAAGAAACAGATCATCAGGTACGGCAAGGTATAGTCAGTGGGAGACCAACAGGATGCAGATGGACGGAAAGAGCTGGGTGAGGCGGTCCTCACATGGTCCTCCAAGTTACATTCAGGTCTCATCTCTTTCCTAGGAATGACATGGGAAGGATGATGCTCCGTTCTTTTATTATTTATTTTGTGCTGATTGCTCTCTCTGTAGCAGGTAGCCTTGAATTGGCACTGTGTTGCCTCAGCACCCCCCCACTCCCTGCTGCTAGAATTACAAGTCTGAGCTACCACACCAGCCGCTGGATGCTGCTGCTTTTAAATATTTGTTGGATATGATGACTGCTGACAAAAATAGGAAAAAATTAAAAACCTATTATTGCGTGTATGAACTGGAGTTGGTTCTACCTTCCACTTTATGTGGGTTCCAGGGATCAAATTCAGCCAGGCTTGTCGAGGGGAACTGCCCTGATCTGCTTAACCCATCTTGCTCAATCATTTTTAACAATTTTATTTATTTTGTTTTTTGGAGACAGGGTTTCATGTACTCCAGCCTGTCCTTGAACTCACTATGTAGCCAAGATTAACCTTTAACTCTTGGATCCTCCTGCCTCCTCCTCCTAGGTGCTGGGAAAACAGGCATGCACCACCACACTCCATCCCGAATCCTTCCCCTCCTCTTCCTCTTTTTTTTTTTTTTAATTTTCCCTCTTTCTCCTCCTGCTCCACTGCCTCCAGCTCCTCCTTCTCTTCCTCTTTTTACAGAACGAGGGTTTTGCTCATGCTAGACAGCCCTCCAGTGCACCCCCTTCAATTTAATTTTTTTAAATTTATGTGTTTTGCCTGAATATATGTATGTGCACTGTGTGCATGCCTGGTGCCCAAGGAGGTCAGAAGAAGAAGGGTTCAGAGGTCATGGAACTGGAGCGACACACGACTGTAAGCTGCTGTGTGGGTTCTGGGACCCAAACCTGGAACCTCCGCAAGAGCAAGTACAGTTACGCAGGCTGGCCTTAATCTCACTCTATTAGCCTAGGCCAGGCAGGCTTTGCAGTCGGGGCCCTCCTCCCTCAACCTCCAAGCTGCATCAGCTGTAGGCTTGTATCCCCTCACTGCTGTGGTGGTAGTTTCTGTTTTTTCTTCCGAGACAAGCTTTCACTATGTACCCTTGTGTGCTAGCTAGTTCTATGTCAACTTGACACAAGCTAAAATCACCTGAGAGGAGGGAACCTCAATTAAGAAATTGAGACTGCATAAAAATCATAAAATCAGACTCCATAAAAATCAGACTGTAAGCAAGCCTGTAGGTCATTTTCTTAATTAGTAATTAATGGGAGAGGGCCCAGACCCTTGTGGGTGGGGCTATCTCTAGGCTAGTGGTCCTGGTCCTATAAGAAAAAAGTCTGAGTAAGCCATGAGGAGCATGCCAGGAAACAGCACCCCTCCATGGCCTCTGCATCAGCTCCTGCCTCCAGGATCCTGCCCTGACTTCCTTTGAGGATGAACAGTGATCTGCAAGTGTAAGCCAAATAACCCTCTCCTTCCCAGTTTGCTTTTGGTCATGGTGTTTCATCACAGCAATAGTAACCCTTAAGTAAGACACCTTGTCTGTCCTAGAATTCTGTCGATCAAGACAGCCTTGAACTCGTAGAATTCACCCACCTCTGCCTCCTAAGTGTTGGGATGAAAGGCATATGCCATTGTGCCTGATTAAAAAATGTATAGTGGTGTGCGTATGGACACCAGAGGAGAAATTCCAGGAGTTGATTGTTTCCCACCGGGGGATCCTGGGGGTTGAAGTCACATCATTCAGCTTGGCAACAAGTGTCTTTACTTGCTGAGTAAATCTCACTGGCCCAATGTCTGCATTTATGTGGGTTTGAATTCATGGCCATCTAGTAGCTTAAAAAGTGTTACTGTCGTTATTTATACTGGTGAGCAGCTGATCATGTTGTCACCAGTTTGGCAACTAGAAGCCTGGTCTATGTGTCTATGTCCTGGCTGTAGAGTAAAAGGGCCAGCCAAAGAAACCCACCCTGACCCTGGAACCAGAGCCAGCGAAAGAAACCCACCCTGACCCTGGAACCAGAGTCAAAGAAACATATTTTGGCCCTAGAACCAGAGCAAGTAAAAGAAACACACCCTGGCCCTGAAACTAGAACCAAAAGGCTAAAAAGGGCCAGTGAAAGAAACACACTTTAGTCCTAAAACCAAAGCCAAATAGGCCCCTGAGCAACGGAGCACAAAACCAACTGATCCCTGAGCAGGAAAACCAACCAATCCCTGCACATGAAATCTAGCCAATCTGAGTTTGTCCAAGCTCAAGGGGATTGAAACCCAACTAATTCCCACTCTGAAAATCTTCTCCCTGGAAAAACTACCCCCCCTAAGAAGCCCTATCTAAACGCTGTGCCTGTTCAGTTTGCTGCTGCCTTTTTTTTTTTTTTTTTTTTTTTTTTGGTTTTTCGAGACGGGGTTTCTCTGTGTAGCTTTGCGCCTTTCCTGGAACTCACTTGGTAGCCCAGGCTGGCCTCGAACTCACAGAGATCCGCCTGGCTCTGCCTCCCGAGTGCTGGGATTAAAGGCGTGCGCCACCACCACCCGGCGGAAACCACATTTCTTAGAGTGGGAGATGGAAGGTGTCAATGTAGACAAACCCCAGCACAAATCCTATTATATTGGATGGGAATTGGTGATAATCACTCTCATGTTTCTTTGTGTGTGTGTGTGTGTGTATAGGAAATGAATGTTGGGGGCTGAAGAGATGGCTCATCAGTTACAGTACTTGATGATACTCTTGCAGAGGACCAGGATGCAGTTCTCGGCACCTACGTGGTAGCTTACAACCAAACATCAGTAACTCCAGTTCCAGGAGATCCAACATCCTCTGGCCTCTGCAGGCACTGCACATATACGGTACACAGGCGTCCATGCAGGCAAAACACTTATATACTTATATACATAAAATAAATCTAAAAATTGAATCAAATTTTTTTTTTTTTTTTTTTTTTTTTTTTTTTTTTTTTTAAGCTTCACACACTCTGCTTCAACAGTGCTTCCCTTGTCTGTGGGGCTCAGAGTGGATGTAGAGCGCACTCAGGCACTTCCTTAAGGCTAGCCTTCCTCCCTGTTGCTGCTGCCATCCCCATTTTTTGGAAAAGGAAGCTGAGGAGGTAGAGCCTCTCTGCCAGACTGGAAGCTAGGTCCCTTTCACTGCGGGGAGCTTAAGGCCAGGTGTCATTTCTGGAATCCCTGGAGCGGGAGAGAAGGCTGTGGTCAGGATCGCTATAGGCCAGAGCCTGACTGGAGCCATTTGCTCAGACAAGTCCAGGGCTTCTGTCTTAGGGTTTCTATTGCTGTGATGAAACACCATGACCAAAAGCAAGGGAGGAAAGGGATTGGCTTGCACTTCCACATCTAAGGAAGTCAGGACAGGAACTCACACGGGGCAGGAACCTGGAGGCTGGAGATGCAGAGGCCATGGAGGAGTGCTGCTTACTGGCTTGCTCCTCATGGTTTGCTCAGCTTGCTTGCTTATAAAATTCAGGACCGGCCGGGCGGTGGTGGCGCAGGCCAGGCGGTGGTGGCACACGCCTTTAATCCCAGCACTTGGGAGGCAGAGCCAGGTGGATCTCTGTGAGTTCGAGGCCAGCCTGGGCTACCAAGTGAGTCCCAGGAAAGGCGCAAAGCTACACAGAGAAACCCTGTCTCGAAAAACGGAAAACAAAACAAAACAAAACAAAACAAAATTCAGGACCACTAGCCCAGGGGTGGCTCTACTCGCAATGGGCTGAGCCCTCTCCTGTCAATCACTAATTAAGAAAATGTCCTACAGGTTTACCTCTGTGGGATCTTACGGAGGCATTTTCTCAGCTGAGGCTCCTCTTCTTTGATGACTCCAGCTTGTGTCAAGTTGACGTAAAACTAAAGAGCGCCGCTTCTAGCTGGCAGATGACACAGATCAGCCCTCAGAGACCTGAGTTTGATAGGGGAGTGGAGTCCTGCTCTTTGGGTGTGTTCAAGTGAGGTTCAATCCTCACGAGTCCCTATTCCACGGAGGGCGATACAGCCTGACTCTCAGGAAATGTTTGGTAATAATCTTCCAACAGTATAGCACTTTCAGGTTTACAAAGTAAAAAAATAAATGTATACACGTGGGTGGTGGGGGGGGGGGACCTTCCGGTGATACACACAGGCCATCTCAGTACTTGGAGATGAAGGCAGGTGGACCAGGAGTTCAAGTTCGTCCTTGCCTCCGATACCCCGTCCCTGTCACAGCAAAACAAAGCAAGCCATCACCACCACTCCCACCACTAAAATAAAACAAAAGACCAGAAAAGTTAAGAATTTCCAGACAGTAAGGGAAGAGCATTAATCCAGCTGCAAATAGTTTCTAAGCCTGGGGCTCTATGCAAACTACAGTTGTGTGCACTTTTCCAAAAGCCTGGCCCAGTATGATGGAGGAGGTTGTCCCTTTGGTGAGCACTTTCTTCCTGGGTCTCAACTGCCGCTCGTAGGAAAAGACGGCTGAAGGCACTGCTTGATCAAAACTTCTCTTAACTACCAGCCCTATCAAGGATGTGAGCTCGGAGCTTTCTAGAAGGCTCCCAGGTATCTGGTGACCATAGCAACTCAAACCAAACTCTGCGGCCGCAAGCCCCTCCCACCACTTTCGGGTCGCGCCTGTTGATTTGCTCCTCCCGTTAGCCAATGACCGGTGAAGCGGGCTGTGTTCCGGGAGCTCAATGGCCACCGATGGGCGGGGAGGCGGGAAGAGAGCAGGGAAGGGCGGGCCCGGGCGGCCGGGGCCGTGCGTGTTTCCGGCTCCGCTGCGGAAGGCCGGCGCGGGGAACCGTTGGGCCCGACGCGAACCGTGCGGAGCGCGGGCATCGCAGAGCGCGAGTGCGGAGCTCGGAGCGCAGCGCGATGGGCGGGGAACAGGAGGAGGAGCGCTTCGACGGCATGCTGCTGGCCATGGCGCAGCAGCACGAGGGCGGCGTGCAGGAGGTAAGCGCCGTGGCCCGCGCCCCAGCCCTTCTCCGCCGTGGATCGCCGAGACCTCCCCCACCCCGGCCGCGCGGCTCCCCGCGCCCCAGCTTCCGGCCCGTCCACCCCGCGGGCGAAGTCTCAGTCCCACGCCATCAGTGCCCGGCACTTTGCCCCCAAGAGCAATTCTGCTGTCTCAGAGTGACCCCAGAGCTTCCGCATCCATTCTGTGTTCCACGCG